AAAAGAACCTATCTAGAAGTTTGGGGCTTTTTACCCGTGAATCTTCACTTTGCGATTAAACTATCCACAGCAGTGCCAAATTTTCTGGGTCACTGAATGCGGGTGCCAGCGCCCTACAAGCAAACCAAAAATGAAACCAATGCGACCACTGAAATTACAGCTGGGTCATGTTATAGAGAGGTACGTTGAAATAGAAAGGTCAGCACAAATGGTCAAAATCCGACATTATTTCACCTTTCTGCCCGTTCGCAGCTCAGAAAATGACAATGACCATCCTCATCTCGTTGTGTAGCTGGACATAGACAAGAACACCAAGAAAAAGACCCACATTTCTCTAAAGAACTCGCCCAGGGCTGCTGAAAGCTGAAAAAGAACCTATCTTGAAGTTTGGGGCTTTTTACCCGTGAATCTTCACTTTGCGACTAAACTATTCACAGCAGTGCCAAATTTTCTGGGTCACTGAATGCGGGTGCCAGCGCCCTACAAGCAAACCAAAAATGAAACCAATGCGACCACTGAAATTACAGCTGGGTCATGTTATAGAGAGGTACGTTGAAATTGAAAGGTCAGCACAAATGGTCAAAATCCGACATTTTCTCACCTTTCTGCCCGTTCGCAGCTCAGAAAATGACAATGAAAATCCTCATTTCGTTGTGTAGCTGGACATAGAAAATAGCACCATGAAAAAGAGCCACATTTCTCTAAAGAACTCACCCAGGGCTGCTGAAAGCTGAAAAAGAACCTATCTAGAAGTTTGGGGCTTTTTACCCGTGAATCTTTACTTTGCGACTAAACTATTCACAGCAGTGCCAAATTTTCTGGGTCACTGAATGCGGGTGCCAGCGCCCTACAAGCAAACCAAAAATGAAACCAATGCGACCACTGAAATTACAGCTGGGTCATGTTATAGAGAGGTACGTTGAAATTGAAAGGTCAGCACAAATGGTCAAAATCCGACATTTTCTCACCTTTCTGCCCGTTCGCAGCTCAGAAAATGACAATGACCATCCTCATCTCGTTGTGTAGCTGGACATAGAAAATAGCACCATGAAAAAGAGCCACATTTCTCTAAAGAACTCACCCAGGGCTGCTGAAAGCTGAAAAAGAACTTATCTAGAAGTGTGGGGCTTTTTACCCGTGAATCTTCACTTTGCGACTAAACTATCCACAGCAGTGCCAAATTTTGTGGGTCACTGAATGCGGGTGCCAGCGCCCTACAAGCAAACCAAAAATCAAACCAATGCGACCACTGAAATTGCAGCTGGGTCATGTTATAGAGAGGTACGTTGAAATTGAAAGGTCAGCACAAATGGTCAAAATCCGACATTTTCTCACCTTTCTGCCCGTTCGCAGCTCAGAAAATGACAATGACCATCCTCATCTCGTTGTGTAGCTGGACATAGAAAATAGCACCATGAAAAAGAGCCACATTTCTCTAAAGAACTCGCCCAGGGCTGCTGAAAGCTGAAAAAGAACCTATCCAGAAGTTTGGGGCTTTTTACCCGTGAATCTTCACTTTGCGACTAAACTATCCACAGCAGTGCCAAATTTTCTGGGTCACTGAATGCGGGTGCCAGCGCCCTACAAGCAAACCAAAAATCAAACCAATGCAACCACTGAAATTACAGCTGGGTCATGTTATAGAGAGGTACGTTGAAATTGAAAGGTCAGCACAAATGGTCAAAATCCGACATTTTCTCACCTTTCTGCCCGTTCGCAGCTCAGAAAATGACAATGACCATCCTCATCTCGTTGTGTAGCTGGACATAGAAAATAGCACCATGAAAAAGAGCCACATTTCTCTAAAGAACTCGCCCAGGGCTGCTGAAAGCTGAAAAAGAACCTATCCAGAAGTTTGGGGCTTTTTACCCGTGAATCTTCACTTTGCGACTAAACTATCCACAGCAGTGCCAAATTTTCTGGGTCACTGAATGCGGGTGCCAGCGCCCTACAAGCAAACCAAAAATGAAACCAATGCAACCACTGAAATTACAGCTGGGTCATGTTATAGAGAGGTACGTTGAAATTGAAAGGTCAGCACAAATGGTCAAAATCCGACATTTTCTCACCTTTCTGCCCGTTCGCAGCTCAGAAAATGACAATGACCATCCTCATCTCGTTGTGTAGCTGGACATAGAAAATAGCACCGTGAAAAAGACCCACATTTCTCTAAAGAACTCACCCAGGGCTGCTGAAAGCTGAAAAAGAACTTATCTAGAAGTGTGGGGCTTTTTACCCGTGAATCTTCACTTTGCGACTAAACTATTCACAGCAGTGCCAAATTTTCCGGGTCACTGAATGCGGGTGCCAGCGCCCTACAAGCAAACCAAAAATGAAACCAATGCGACCACTGAAATTACAGCTGGGTCATGTTATAGAGAGGTACGTTGAAATTGAAAGGTCAGCACAAATGGTCAAAATCCGACATTTTCTCACCTTTCTGCCCGTTCGCAGCTCAGAAAATGACAATAAAAATCCTCATCTCGTTGTGTAGCTGGCCATAGAAAATAGCACCATGAAAAAGAGCCACATTTCTCTAAAGAACTCACCCAGGGCTGCTGAAAGCTGAAAAAGAACCTATCTAGAAGTTTGGGGCTTTTTACCCGTGAATCTTCACTTTGCGACTAAACTATTCACAGCAGTGCCACATTTTCTGGGTCACTGAATGCGGGTGCCAGCACCCTACAAGCAAACCAAAAATGAAACCAATGCGACCACTGAAATTACAGCTGGGTCATGTTATAGAGAGGTACGTTGAAATTGAAAGGTCAGCACAAATGGTCAAAATCCGACATTTTCTCACCTTTCTGCCCGTTCGCAGCTCAGAAAATGACAATGACCATCCTCATCTCGTTGTGTAGCTGGACATAGAAAATAGCACCATGAAAAAGAGCCACATTTCTCTAAAGAACTCACCCAGGGCTGCTGAAAGCTGAAAAAGAACTTATCTAGAAGTTTGGGGCTTTTTACCCGTGAATCTTCACTTTGCGACTAAACTATCCACAGCAGTGCCAAATTTTGTGGGTCACTGAATGCGGGTGCCAGCGCCCTACAAGCAAACCAAAAATGAAACCAATGCGACCACTGAAATTACAGCTGGGTCATGTTATAGAGAGGTACGTTGAAATTGAAAGGTCAGCACAAATGGTCAAAATCCGACATTTTCTCACCTTTCTGCCCGTTCGCAGCTCAGAAAATGACAATGAAAATCCTCATATCGTTGTGTAGCTGGACATAGGAAATAGCACCATGAAAAAGAGCCACATTTCTCTAAAGAACTCGCCCAGGGCTGCTGAAAGCTGAAAAAGAACCTATCCAGAAGTTTGGGGCTTTTTACCCGTGAATCTTCACTTTGCGACTAAACTATCCACAGCAGTGCCAAATTTTCTGGGTCACTGAATGCGGGTGCCAGCGCCCTACAAGCAAACCAAAAATCAAACCAATGCGACCACTGAAATTACAGCTGGGTCATGTTATAGAGAGGTACGTTGAAATTGAAAGGTCAGCACAAATGGTCAAAATCCGACATTTTCTCACCTTTCTGCCCGTTCGCAGCTCAGAAAATGACAATGACCATCCTCATCTCGTTGTGTAGCTGGACATAGAAAATAGCACCATGAAAAAGAGCCACATTTCTCTAAAGAACTCACCCAGGGCTGCTGAAAGCTGAAAAAGAACTTATCTAGAAGTTTGGGGCTTTTTACCCGTGAATCTTCACTTTGCGACTAAACTATCCACAGCAGTGCCAAATTTTGTGGGTCACTGAATGCGGGTGCCAGCGCCCTACAAGCAAACCAAAAATCAAACCAATGCGACCACTGAAATTGCAGCTGGGTCATGTTATAGAGAGGTACGTTGAAATTGAAAGGTCAGCACAAATGGTCAAAATCCGACATTTTCTCACCTTTCTGCCCGTTCGCAGCTCAGAAAATGACAATGACCATCCTCATCTCGTTGTGTAGCTGGACATAGACAAGAGCACGAAGAAAAAGACCCACATTTCTCTAAAGAACTCGCCCAGGGCTGCTGAAAGCTGAAAAAGAACCTATCTAGAAGTTTGGGGCTTTTTACCCGTGAATCTTCACTTTGCGACTAAACTATTCACAGCAGTGCCAAATTTTCTGGGTCACTGAATGCGGGTGCCAGCGCCCTACAAGCAAACCAAAAATCAAACCAATGCGACCACTGAAATTACAGCTGGGTCATGTTATAGAGAGGTACGTTGAAATTGAAAGGTCAGCACAAATGGTCAAAATCCGACATTTTCTCACCTTTCTGCCCGTTCGCAGCTCAGAAAATGACAATGACCATCCTCATCTCGTTGTGTAGCTGGACATAGAAAATAGCACCATGAAAAAGAGCCACATTTCTCTAAAGAACTCACCCAGGGCTGCTGAAAGCTGAAAAAGAACTTATCTAGAAGTTTGGTGCTTTTTACCCGTGAATCTTCACTTTGCGACTAAACTATCCACAGCAGTGCCAAATTTTCTAGGTCACTGAATGCGGGTGCCAGCGCCCTACAAGCACACCAAAAATGAAACCAATGCGACCACTGAAATTGCAGCTGGGTCATGTTATAGAGAGGTACGTTGAAATTGAAAGGTCAGCACAAATGGTCAAAATCCGACATTTTCTCACCTTTCTGCCCGTTCGCAGCTCAGAAAATGACAATGACCATCCTCATCTCGTTGTGTAGCTGGACATATAGCACCATGAAAAAGAGCCACATTTCTCTAAAGAACTCGTCCAGGGCTGCTGAAAGCTGAAAAAGAACCTATCTAGAAGTTTGGGGCTTTTTACCCGTGAATCTTCACTTTGCGATTAAACTATCCACAGCAGTGCCAAATTTTCTGGGTCACTGAATGCGGGTGCCAGCGCCCTACAAGCAAACCAAAAATGAAACCAATGCGACCACTGAAATTACAGCTGGGTCATGTTATAGAGAGGTACGTTGAAATAGAAAGGTCAGCACAAATGGTCAAAATCCGACATTATTTCACCTTTCTGCCCGTTCGCAGCTCAGAAAATGACAATGACCATCCTCATCTTGTTGTGTAGCTGGACATAGACAAGAACACCAAGAAAAAGACACACATTTCTCTAAAGAACTCGCCCAGGGCTGCTGAAAGCTGAAAAAGAACCTATCTTGAAGATTGGGGCTTTTTACCCGTGAATCTTCACTTTGCGACTAAACTATTCACAGCAGTGCCAAATTTTCTGGGTCACTGAATGCGGGTGCCAGCGCCCTACAAGCAAACCAAAAATCAAACCAATGCGACCACTGAAATTACAGCTGGGTCATGTTATAGAGAGGTACGTTGAAATTGAAAGGTCAGCACAAATGGTCAAAATCCGACATTTTCTCACCTTTCTGCCCGTTCGCAGCTCAGAAATGACAATGAAAATCCTCATCTCGTTGTGTAGCTGGACATAGAAAATAGCACCATGAAAAAGAGCCACATTTCTCTAAAGAACTCGCCCAGGGCTGCTGAAAGCTGAAAAAGAACCTATCTAGAAGTTTGGGGCTTTTTACCCGTGAATCTTCACTTTGCGACTAAACTATTCACAGCAGTGCCAAATTTTCTGGGTCACTGAATGCGGGTGCCAGCGCCCTACAAGCAAACCAAAAATCAAACCAATGCGACCACTGAAATTACAGCTGGGTCATGTTATAGAGAGGTACGTTGAAATTGAAAGGTCAGCACAAATGGTCAAAATCCGACATTTTCTCACCTTTCTGCCCGTTCGCAGCACAGAAAATGACAATGACCATCCTCATCTCGTTGTGTAGCTGGACATAGAAAATAGCACCATGAAAAAGACCCACATTTCTCTAAAGAACTCACCCAGGGCTGCTGAAAGCTGAAAAAGAACTTATCTAGAAGTGTGGGGCTTTTTACCCGTGAATCTTCACTTTGCGACTAAACTATCCACAGCAGTGCCAAATTTTGTGGGTCACTGAATGCGGGTGCCAGCGCCCTACAAGCAAACCAAAAATCAAACCAATGCGACCACTGAAATTACAACTGGGTCATTCTATAGAGAGGTACGTTGAAATTGAAAGGTCAGCACAAATGGTCAAAATCAGACATTTTCTCACCTTTCTGCCCGTTCGCAGCTCAGAAAATGACAATGACCATCCTCATCTCGTTGTGTAGCTGGACATAGAAAATAGCCCCATGAAAAAGAGCCACATTTCTCTAAAGAACTCGCCCAGGGCTGCTGAAAGCTGAAAAAGAACCTATCCAGAAGTTTGGGGCTTTTTACCCGTGAATCTTCACTTTGCGACTAAACTATCCACAGCAGTGCCAAATTTTCTGGGTCACTGAATGCGGGTGCCAGCGCCCTACAAGCAAACCAAAAATCAAACCAATGCGACCACTGAAATTACAGCTGGGTCATGTTATAGAGAGGTACGTTGAAATTGAAAGGTCAGCACAAATGGTCAAAATCCGACATTTTCTCACCTTTCTGCCCGTTCGCAGCTCAGAAAATGACAATGACCATCCTCATCTCGTTGTGTAGCTGGACATAGACAAGAACACCAAGAAAAAGACCCACATTTCTCTAAAGAACTCGCCCAGGGCTGCTGAAAGCTGAAAAAGAACCTATCTTGAAGTTTGGGGCTTTTTACCCGTGAATCTTCACTTTGCGACTAAACTATTCACAGCAGTGCCAAATTTTCTGGGTCACTGAATGCGGGTGCCAGCGCCCTACAAGCAAACCAAAAATGAAACCAATGCGACCACTGAAATTACAGCTGGGTCATGTTATAGAAGGTACGTTGAAATTGAAAGGTCAGCACAAATGGTCAAAATCCGACATTTTCTCACCTTTCTGCCCGTTCGCAGCTCAGAAAATGACAATAAAAATCCTCATCTCGTTGTGTAGCTGGCCATAGAAAATAGCACCATGAAAAAGAGCCACATTTCTCTAAAGAACTCACCCAGGGCTGCTGAAAGCTGAAAAAGAACCTATCTAGAAGTTTGGGGCTTTTTACCCGTGAATCTTCACTTTGCGACTAAACTATTCACAGCAGTGCCAAATTTTCTGGGTCACTGAATGCGGGTGCCAGCGCCCTACAAGCAAACCAAAAATGAAACCAATGCGACCACTGAAATTACAGCTGGGTCATGTTATAGAGAGGTACGTTGAAATTGAAAGGTCAGCACAAATGGTCAAAATCCGACATTTTCTCACCTTTCTGCCCGTTCGCAGCTCAGAAAATGACAATGACCATCCCCATCTCGTTGTGTAGCTGGACATAGAAAATAGCACCTTGAAAAAGAGCCACATTTCTCTAAAGAACTCACCCAGGGCTGCTGAAAGCTGAAAAAGAACTTATCTAGAAGTTTGGGGCTTTTTACCCGTGAATCTTCACTTTGCGACTAAACTATCCACAGCAGTGCCAAATTTTGTGGGTCACTGAATGCGGGTGCCAGCGCCCTACAAGCAAACCAAAAATCAAACCGATGCGACCACTGAAATTGCAGCTGGGTCATGTTATAGAGAGGTACGTTGAAATTGAAAGGTCAGCACAAATGGTCAAAATCAGACATTTTCTCACCTTTCTGCCCGTTCGCAGCTCAGAAAATGACAATGACCATCCTCATCTCGTTGTGTAGCTGGACATAGAAAATAGCACCATGAAAAAGAGCCACATTTCTCTAAAGAACTCGCCCAGGGCTGCTGAAAGCTGAAAAAGAACCTATCTAGAAGTTTGGGGCTTTTTACCCGTGAATCTTCACTTTGCGACTAAACTATCCACAGCAGTGCCAAATTTTCTGGGTCACTGAATGCGGGTGCCAGCGCCCTACAAGCAAACCAAAAATGAAACCAATGCGACCACTGAAATTACAGCTGGGTCATGTTATAGAGAGGTACGTTGAAATTGAAAGGTCAGCACAAATGGTCAAAATCCGACATTTTCTCACCTTTCTGCCCGTTCGCAGCTCAGAAAATGACAATGAAAATCCTCATCTCGTTGTGTAGCTGGACATAGAAAATAGCACCATGAAAAAGAGCCACATTTCTCTAAAGAACTCACCCAGGGCTGCTGAAAGCTGAAAAAGAACCTATCTAGAAGTTTGGGGCTTTTACCCGTGAATCTTCACTTTGCGACTAAACTATTCACAGCAGTGCCAAATTTTCTGGGTCACTGAATGCGGGTGCCAGCGCCCTACAAGCAAACCAAAAATCAAACCAATGTGACCACTGAAATTACAGCTGGGTCATGTTATAGGGCTTGAAAGTGATGACGTCAAAAACGGCCTGGGAGTAGTAAATTGACATCAGATTTCTATTTTGGATCCACTAAGGTGTGACTTTGCTATTGCCTCAGTATGTGGGTGCATAGCAACCCACTCATGTCGTATGCAGGTGCAACTTTTACTTCGCCACCAGTTGTCACCCCGCCCCCACTAGCCAAATCAGTCAGTTTCACTGGCAACATCACCTTGTTGTGAGTGAGACCGCTTGAAATGTGCTTGGATCCATACAAAAACTGGATCCAGGTGGATCCAGTTTTCGAATTTTTCAAATTGTTGCTATGCCATTGCTATGGAGTGACGTAGCACTTTCAAGCCCTATAGAGAGGTACGTTGAAATTGAAAGGTCAGCACAAATGGTCAAAATCCGACATTTTCTCACCTTTCTGCCCGTTCGCAGCTCAGAAAATGAAAATGACCATCCTCATCTCGTTGTGTAGCTGGACATAGAAAATACCACCATGAAAAAGAGCCACATTTCTCTAAAGAACTTACCCAGGGCTGCTGAAAGCTGAAAAAGAACCTATCTAGAAGTTTGGGGCTTTTTACCCGTGAATCTTCACTTTGCGACTAAACTATTCACAGCAGTGCCAAATTTTCTGGGTCACTGAATGCGGGTGCCAGCGCCCTACAAGCAAACCAAAAATGAAACCAATGCGACCACTGAAATTACAGCTGGGTCATGTTATAGAGAGGTACGTTGAAATTGAAAGGTCAGCACAAATGGTCAAAATCCGACATTTTCTCACCTTTCTGCCCGTTCGCAGCTCAGAAAATGACAATGACCATCCTCATCTCGTTGTGTAGCTGGACATAGAAAATAGCACCATGAAAAAGAGCCACATTTCTCTAAAGAACTCGCCCAGGGCTGCTGAAAGCTGAAAAAGAACTTATCTAGAAGTTTGCTGCTTTTTACCCGTGAATCTTCACTTTGCGACTAAACTATCCACAGCAGTGCCAAATTTTCTGGGTCACTGAATGCGGGTGCCAGCGCCCTACAAGCACACCAAAAATGAAACCAATGCGACCACTGAAATTGCAGTTGGGTCATGTTATAGAGAGGTACGTTGAAATTGAAAGGTCAGCACAAATGGTCAAAATCCGACATTTTCTCACCTTTCTGCCCGTTCGCAGCTCAGAAAATGACAATGACCATCCTCATCTCGTTGTGTAGCTGGACATAGAAAATAGCACCATGAAAAAGAGCCACATCTCTCTAAAGAACTCGCCCAGGGCTGCTGAAAGCTGAAAAAGAACCTATCTAGAAGTTTGGGGCTTTTTACCCGTGAATCTTCACTTTGCGATTAAACTATCCACAGCAGTGCCAAATTTTCTGGGTCACTGAATGCGGGTGCCAGCGCCCTACAAGCAAACCAAAAATGAAACCAATGCGACCACTGAAATTACAGCTGGGTCATGTTATAGAGAGGTACGTTGAAATAGAAAGGTCAGCACAAATGGTCAAAATCCGACATTTTCTCACCTTTCTGCCCGTTCGCAGCTCAGAAAATGACAATGACCATCCTCATCTCGTTGTGTAGCTGGACATAGACAAGAACACCAAGAAAAAGACCCACATTTCTCTAAAGAACTCGCCCAGGGCTGCTGAAAGCTGAAAAAGAACCTATCTTGAAGTTTGGGGCTTTTTACCCGTGAATCTTCACTTTGCGACTAAACTATTCACAGCAGTGCCAAATTTTCTGGGTCACTGAATGCGGGTGCCAGCGCCCTACAAGCAAACCAAAAATGAAACCAATGCGACCACTGAAATTACAGCTGGGTCATGTTATA